CTAATATTGTATTAAAAATTATATATATTTTGTATTTTGCAGATTTTAACAAAGGGGTTTAAAAATGGGAGGCATGCAAAATATTGAAATACCTTGTTTCACTGCACCTGTGTCTAGAATGATCTGTTGTGACTCCTCTCCTGTAAGTGCTGAAATGACCAGAATTATGCTCACCAGCATGGACAATGACAGCTTTTAATCTGTATGTATACTTATTTCCTCTTAACCTATACAATGTATACTATTTAAATTAAGGTAAATTAATTAAAACATATAAATAAGCAACAGCACAATACTAAAGTACACAAGACATGAATGTATACTTAAGCTGTTTATCAACAAGCCATGGTGAAAAAATTATAAAATAAATCCAATGAAGAAATCAACATTAAAAATTATTCCATTTTGAGATAAAATTAAAATCATACACAAATATGGTGTTAAAAAAGAATGGAATATTTTTACGGAATTTCAAAACAGGTAACACTTTTGTCTGCAAATTACAATAAAATTATACATTCATTACCTATGAAATAAATATTATTCTCATTGAACACTTTCAAATGTAATCGTCAAATGTAAAACTTATAATTGTATATAATAATGCATAATTATAACCTTTCTAATGGTTCAGAAGCACTTTTTTCTCTAGATTGCCTTAGCTTGCTTAATTGGTCATAAACACTGGTATATTTATCCATGTGTAAATATTCTGGAAATTCCACAAAATCTTTTCTTTTTAATGGTCTATCTCTAGAATATTGAGTTCTTACTAAGTGTAGACATAAACATGAAGGTAGCTAAAATATTATAAAAATGTGATAAAGTATTAGTATTCAACTTTTGAATTAATTAAATAACAAAAGATTACTTTTCCAAATTTGACACTTTTTATGTATGATTTTCCATCAGTTTTAGTATTATTTTCATCACAGTTTGTACATGGTAGATTTTCTAGCTTCTCTTGTTTTATATACTGATCTAAAATATCTGTTAATTCAATTTTCAGTTGAGGATATTCAGGTAAGCTCAATGATATAACATAAAATTTTTCATAATTTAAGGACAACTGAAAAAAAAAATAATTATTAGATTTATTATTACAGATACATACAAACTATATTTTAAAATATGGAGAATACCACCCAGGTATTTCATTTTTTCAATAATCTTTAAACTATGAACATTTAACTCTTTTTTATTGAAAATACTTATAGATTATACATAAATAGGATTTCAAGATGTAGTAATTTTTAAAGCATAGTTCCAAGTTGGAACAATGTATAGTTAAATTAATATTAAAATCTAAATCTTTTTAAGATGATATCAGTGATCTATATGTTCTTCTCTGTCTACCTCACAAGCAACATAGCAAATTTGCATTCATCAGAACCAATTTGTTGTTGTTAGTTTTGATATTAGAGTGAATTGACCTGTTATTAAATTTAAAGGTAAGAACATTATAGTCAGGATCATCATATTTTAATTTTAAGGTGAGTTATGGGTATTTAAACATTTTAATATTTTACCTAGATATATCTCACTTTAAAACTAAGATATCAATAAAAGATATGCCAAGATAATATTGTTACCTTTATGTTTGACAATAGATCAATTCACTTTAATATTGAAGCTGACATCACAAAATGGGTTTGCTGAACTAAAATTTGATGTACTTGTGGGTTCCGTACATGGTAAACATAATAATAAACTGCATTGACATCCTCTTAAAGTCTACCTATTATCTAGTTGTCTGGGCAATCTACTCAGGGCTACAGGGTTTGCAGAGATATTATGATAGATGGCATACTGTATTAGCACCAAACGCCACTTCACTTGTTCATAAAAAAAATTTTAATGCATCAAGTTGTTTTAATCTAATACCAAAAACAATGTAAGCTACATTAATAAATAAAAATGCAATAATTTGTGTTATTCATTTTTGTTACTCTCAAAAATAGAAATAGTGGCTCGCAAATAACCTAAGCTCTGTTCGCTCACCATGTCCCCCACATGTCTTGGCCAAAACTGGTCACTACCATACATATCTCACTAAGAACCATAATACTGAAACGACATTCTTGTCATGGTGTTTTGTTTGTACATTGACTGTGAAGAGGGAAATCCCGCCCTAAGTTCATTTAAGATGTGCAAACTCTAAACAGCTTTGTTCTCTCATGAATAAGAGTTATAACATTAATTGATATTATTATTAATATTCTATTTATTAATTAAATACATACTTTGTGATGACATAAAGAACATTCTATATTATTTGACAAATAACCCAAAAATGGTGCTGGTTTAACATTTTGATTTTTATCCAATGATTTCCTATCACCTTGTAAGACTATGTTTCTATAAAATAATAATTTAAAATTTATTAATTTAATAAAAAAAATTACTTTTATCAATTATATTACCCAGAAATATTAAGAATATTATTAGACATTACAGCTGTATTTTCTAATAAATTTCCTTCAGCTTTAGATGGATTATATACATTAATGCTGATATTATTTATAATCTTCATTGAATTTTGTATATTTCCTTTTTCTATTAAATTCCCATTAGTTTCTAAACAATCAGCCAACTAAAAAAAATTATTTTAGTACAAGGTATTGTTACACACAATGTATATAAATTACACAGTTGATAAAGCAGTAAACTTACACTACAACTTGATTTGTATGCTTCATCTTCAATCACAGAAAATAAATGAATAAACAATTCATGAACATCAGCTTGAAGGTTTGGTTTAAAATGAAATCCAACTTTTGTCAATATAGTTACTAATTCTATTGGAGAAAGTATACCATCATCATTGTACCTAGCTCCTGTTAAAACTTAATATTGAAAATAAAATTTAATAACTAATTATTATAGTTGAATAATGTATAGACACAGAAAAGCATTTATAATGGATGAGAAAATCTAGGTTTATCAAAATATTTATTAGCTTTATTAAGCTCCATAAAAATATTACATAAAATACAAATAATATTTGAATATGATCAAAAACATTATATTTAACAATACAATTTTAATTTTATTTCTATACAATTGGGTGCTTGGTTATACTATAAAATAAATCAAAGTATACATATAATGCAACTATATAATATTTAATTTAGTACTCAAATTTAGTTTGTATTGTTTCTTCATTTTTATTATTGAAAACATATTTTTATAAAACTAGCTTAACACAAATTTAATACTCAAAAACCTTACATTTAAGTGTTTTATTCAATGTGTAGGACACAGTTGAAGACTTAGATTGTTGATCAAGCCACTCGACAAACATAGGACAAGAGGCAAGCGATTGTAATAAAGTATTTAAATAGCAAGTAGTTCCTAAATTTTGTAATCCACAAAAACCACCTGTAAACAAAAATTATTAATTTTATAAAATTGCATATTATTTTAAGCAAAGATAATGTGATACCTGAAATTTGACTGTCTTACATGGTTATACATAACAGTCATAACATAAAATAATAATAATAAACTGAAAATTAGGTATAGAATGCACAAAAATGGTTTTGCTTCTTTCCGTCATTTTTGATAATAAAGTAAATCAATCATCAAATATAATAGTAAGAATATTAAATATGTACTACAATAATGTAACAAAAATAAATTTATTTTTTATTTTAAACATTTATTAGGCAATATACAATCTGTAATAGTGGTTACGATGAGCATATAAGTTGGATTACAAGGTGGCTGTGAAAGCGTGAGAGTAGCTAACCCAGCAGTAACACTCGACAAAAATAAATAATAATATAGGCCACTGTCTTTTAAGTGTTTACTATGTTATGCTTATTCACATAGTAAAACAAAAAGAGTTATTCTAATTATAATTGCCATGTCAAATAAACATAATTACAATTTTTGCATAATTTAAACAAATCAAAATAAAACTTACATGAACTACATTTAAGTAATATGAAAGAAGGTAATATTATTTTGTCTCTTATAAGTATGATTAAATTTAACAGTTAATACACTAAGTTTATACTTAGTAAAATGTTGTATTCAATACATTCTTAATACTGTTTAAAATGTACTAATAAAAATCAATATGAAGAAATTTTTTTTCTATACTTTTTTTTATTGGTAGTCATTATGTGCATTTTTATACAACTATCACAATCCATTTTATTAAAATATTTAAACTAATTTATGTTAACTAACTTTTTCTCGTTGATTTTGGTTTATTTGAAGGACCAAATAATACATAGGCTACTAATGCTAATCCAGCTCCAGTTACACCAATAAAAGCTAAATGGTTTCCATGTATCTTAAACATTGTTAAATTTATAAATTCATAGTTGTTACTGTAAAATATAAATCACTGTTTACCAACAATTAAACATAAAAATGAGAACTCAACCATTCCATAAAAAGCTATAAAATAGGTTAAATAAAAATCGAAAACCGAAATGAACTTTGTAGTTTGTACTATGTATTAGATATTATTATTATACTTTATGAATTGCAATTTGCACTTTGCAATCACATGATAACCAGATAACACCCATTTTCCCTCACCTGACAAAATAAATCATATGATAATATTGTGATAAAAATCAAAACAGTGTTGGTAATTGAAATTCTTATAAAATAATTAATTAAAATGTTGACTATACTGCCTATAGTGCATGCTGCATTCGTGCACGATGTGGTTAGAATCCACGGTTAATATATCTAACCTCTAATAAATTAACTGTGGATAGTATTATAGAATCTACGGCTTGATGCATAATATTAAAATAGTCCGTGACTACTGCAACTGCTCCTTTAATGCTTTGTCCTATATTATATTGTATGCTACTGGTAATATTATGATTTATGATCACGAAGTACGGATTAAGATAGAGTGGACTCAAAAAATGGAAACAAAAGCATAATCGGTACTCAGTTTCAATATCATTTCACAAGTTTGAACAATGAACAAGTTCTGGCTTGTGCGAGGGGAAATACAGTAAGTGCGAATCTAGCGCTACCTATTTTCATTGTCTAGTTTATGTGATGAATCTAGGTAGGGAGGTAACACTGGAATTGCACTGGCTGCATTTCCCCCTACACATATCTGCATTAAATTTTTCTCCAGCACAAGCCAATTTTGTAATTTGAAACCACAAATTAAGTCGCATAAATGTTAGATATTATATATCTTCAATTCGTGATTGTAACCATAATCACTGTGATATTGAGTATAGATATATGTAAAGTACTATGTTAGTATAATAATACTACAACCACTGACTATAGCCTGTGCTCCAACCATTGATAGAGTGTCATATATATATAGAGTTCAATGACTACAAGTTACAACTGTCCTATCTATACTCAATGCTATAATTCACATTTCATAGATATTATGTAAATATTTTTTTTATTATGTGATTTAAATCATATGTTCTTACACAGGTACCAATCAGGATAAATATTGTCATTGCTCACTAATTGTGTAGTTTATATTAATGCAATTATCCGATTAATTTAATTTCAAAGTTAAAACATTGTTTTTTTCTTGATTAGATACTAGCAGAATTATAGCCTACACCATTTGAAAGTATTTTTAAAATGGCTAATCGGTGTTGCTTATTAGGTTTAGTAAATTTTACTAAAACAAGATTTATGTCCACATCAAATTCAAAAAATTTAAGAACTGAATCAAAAAAAGAAATACCCGTTGTTAAGGGTTTACCAGTAGTTGGTACAATGTTTTCAATTTTGGCTGCTGGTGGTGGTCGTAAATTACATGAATATATTGACAAACGCCATCAACAATATGGTTCAGTATTTAGAGAAAAACTTGGTCCTATTGATGCAATTTGGATTAGTGACCCTTTGGATATGAAATTATTATTTGCACAAGAAGGAAAATTTCCCAAACATATTTTACCAGAGGCATGGTTACTTTACAATGACACATATGGCCAACAACGTGGACTTTATTTTATGTAAATTATTATAATTTTAATAACTTTATATGGTAACTTATAAAATCAATAATTATTATTAAGTACATTAATATATTATATAAAAATCCACAACTTAAATAATATAGTTTTTTGAACAGATATTACATAGATATAAATTAAAATATTATTTCTAATCTATAACTCTTTATTAATTTTAATGTCATATTTTATTTGTTTTCAGGGATGGTAAAGAATGGTGGAAATATAGACAGATATTTAATAAAGTTTTGTTAAAAGATTTGAATGTAAATTTTATCAAATCTTATAAAATTGTAATTAATGATTTATTAAATGAATGGGAATTGAGTAATGAACAAGTGGTTCCAAATCTTATTGCAGATTTATACAAAATTTCAATATCGTGTAAGCTTTTAGTGTTAATTTTTAATTAATTAGTTATACATGTTAAAATGTTGTTTACATTAGTTAAATATAATAAAACAAATAAAAAGCATTAACACCAAATCATAATTATATAACTTAAATCTCAGTCATTTCATTTTACTGAAAACAATTTGGTATAAAATATGGTTTTCTATAAAGAATTCAATATTTGCATCAGGACATACTACATAACTAAATACTACTTTATATTACTAAGGTCTCGGGCCTACTTAATTTCATTGCGTTGATCATTTTTATATGTTTCCTATTCTTTGTGTATTTACAGATAACAATGAAATAAAAATATTTTACAAATAATCATGCCGGGATAGAGCCGCCGAGTTATCGAGTTGAACTCTATGGGCCGCTTAACATTTGCACCGGCTTAGTAGTATATTTATTATTTATCTATGTCAACTGCTTATTAATATATGTATAACTTATATTATATGATATATGATGTTATTCTTAAAATATGGATAGCTGTTAATGACTATCTTATTGAAAAATGGGCCATCAACTTTTTTAGGGCCAGTTATAATCGTAAAACTCGGTGGGCGGGTACCTTGCCTATCTGGCACTGCAAATAGTAATTGAATAAAAATAAGTTATAATTTTATGAGAAAAAACTTATAAATAGATAAAAAAAAAATGCTTTTATTTGTCATTCAGAGATATTGAGGATCTGTTGCATGTTATGTATCATCTGAACTGTATTTGTGTAAGGGTATCCATATTTTATATTAAATTCTTTAATCTTAGTTAAATTTTAATAGTTATGAAAATATTTAATACAGAAATATTCAGTTAATTGATTGAATGGTTTACAGTTATGGTGGCACATTTAGTTGGAGGAGTTTATGATGATTGTAAACACGACATATCAAATGATGTTAATTGTTTAGCACAATCTATACAAAAAGTATTTCAGTCTACTGTCAAATTTACAGTTATTCCTGCTAAAACTTCTAAATTATTAAAACTGAATATTTGGAATGATTTTGTACTTGCTGTTGATAATTCAATTGAAAGTGGTAAGAATTTATTATTTTTTAATTAGAGATGTTTTACAGTGAAACTTGCCATAACAGACTGTAATATTGTGATTTGTATGTGATGTATTAAAACTAAAGAAATTCATGATCGAGAACGTTTTACTTCTTAAAAGTTATTGTACATAAAAACAATTATATTAATGGCAGTATTGCAATACAAATCACCACAATTAAACAATTCCAGTTAACCACACTGAGTGCAGTTAGTAATAATATATATATTTTTTTTTTAGCAAATAATTTAGTATCAAAATTAATGAGCTTTAATAGCGATGGCTTATTAAATTCTCTACTAAATGCTCATGACATACCTAGTGATATGATCAAGAGGCTTATAGTTGATTTTATAATCGCAGCTGGTGATACTGTAAGGCCTTAACAAAATGATGTAGTATTTAATTATTTATAATCTATTAAATTATTATTTACTAATAGAAAATGTTAATTGTGTATTTATAGACTGCTTATTCAACTCAATGGTCTTTATATACTCTAGGGCTTCATAAGAGTATACAAAATAATTTAAGACATACTCTAATAGAAACTGATTTCTTGGAATGTGATTATCTAAATAATATTTTAAAAGAAGTTCTAAGAATGTATCCCTTGGCACCTTTTCTTGCAAGGATTCTTCCGAGTGATACATATTTAACAGATCACATAATACCTGCAAATGTATGTCAATGTAAAAACACTTTTATTTTATGAATGTATATAATTATTTTGATTTTGCTTTTGCTTTTGATTTTAGAGTTTAGTCGTTATGTCTATGTTCACAAGTAGTAGAAATGGAAAATATTTTAATAGCCCTAATGAATTTATACCAGATCGCTGGAACCGCCTAAAAAGTAATAAATATAATGGTGTAAATGAGCCATTTGCAACCCTTCCTTATGGATTTGGTGCAAGGTCGTGCATTGGACAAAAAATGGCACATATTCAGATGTGTCTAACACTGGCAGAGGTAAACCAAAACTGAAAACACACTTATTTAATATAGAACCTAGAAAATGTGTATTCAGCAGTTCTAATTTTGTGTAGTAAACAAAGAGTGAATTGATTTATTATAAGCCTTTTACGATAAGAAGATAATCTGTATTTCTCATGGTTTTCTTATAATATTTTCATTTATGAGTGAATCATAAGAAATTTTAAACTAATATTGTACATTTTTCTAATTTGGTTATTTATCTTTTAAAATACCTGCGAGAAAGCATAGATAATGTTTTCACTTTAAAGTTTTTGAAAATAGGTCAAGTTTTTTCTAGAATTAAAAGTTTTTGCACAAAATAAGAATTTCTGAACACAAATTTGATATATTGTAGTATGTTTGCAAGACAAATCTAACACATGCAAGTCTATCGTCCTCTCAATATATATATTGGTAGGCATATATCCTATCAAAATTACGAAAAAAAGAATGTTACTACATTATTCTTTGACAGTTTAATGAACGCTATAAAATTATAATAATTAAATTAACATTAATATAATTAACAATAATATTGTTGATGTTTTTCATAAAAAAAGCTAATTACTATTGTTAAATTGTTTAAGTAGAGAGGTATATTAAATGACGCACTTGAAATTGTTTTCCTGCCTGAAACTTGAATTTTAATTTTAACATAATACATTTTGAATGTATTAATCAATATTGAACTGAAATAAATTATTGTCAAGAATTAAATACTGAATAGATTAAACTGGATACAAAGCGAAGTATAGTAGTTTTTGAATGTAAAAAGTGGTAGTATTTTGTATGGAGAAAAATTATATTATATTTATTATCTAATAAACAATATTTACTCCATCATGCTATATCTGTAGTGGTATTGGGACGTTTCCACCCGTGCCTCCCCCCACTGGTAAATTTTAGCGTTACTGGACTTTTCCCCTCAGACAAAGACGTTTACAACTTAAATCAATATATATATATTTTTTTTTTACACATGAAACGTATAAATATAGTAGGTTGGAAAATTGGTTCTATGGTTTTACCCGAAATATATAATCATCATATATATTGACTATCATCTTTCATGTTTTTATTGAAGCTTTACAGATGATTAACTCAAGTGCATCAATAAACATTTTAAATCATAGAGTAGGAGTTTTTTGTTATAATTTAGATAAAGAAGACAGGTTAAAAAAAGTTATGTAAAAGTTTTTCAAATGATGATTTTTTTAATTTCTGTGAGCTATATTATCAGAATAAAAAGTATAAGTTACGTTATGTTTTATTTGTATTATTTACTTATATCATATTTATACTAATATATTTATTGAAATCGTTGAAATATTTCTGTTTTTTGTTTGAGGGGAGGAGGACGTCCTAGATTCATCTGTAGTATATAGACTGTTTATGAGCTTATCATTTAAGATTGGACAGTACAGTACATACAAGTAGTTACAACTATAAAATATTACATCTTATTTTTGTTATAATAGATTTATATTTTTTTATAGTGAAATACATAGGTTACATGGCATGTGTACACAATAAAAAAAATAACACAATTTATCATAACATCAATAAAGTTCTCTAAACTTTTATTCAAAATATTTTTATTTAGCATAAATATATTATAATCTATAAAATAATCTGTGTATTTTTTAATATAGTGCATCAAAAGATATAATATAGAAACAATGAAACCAGTTAAAATTGCATTAGATTTGATTACAGTACCAGATGAACAAATAAGTATAAAAATACAAAAATTATAATTTTTAAGTTAATAAATAATTTATCTTTATAATCAAATTCAGTTGCATTCAAATATTGTAATATCTTCAAATGGTATCTATTTAAATGTATAATATTAAGTATAAGCATGCTGATATTAATAAAATGTATACACAAACTGGCAACTTCTTTCATTATAACTTAATTAATATTACATCATATAATTCAATTTTACTTTATTATATATATTGTCATTTGTCAGGTTAGTATAAACATATTTAAGTTTAAATTTATTTATTTTTTTTGATGTAAAAATTATGTTATATTTTGGAATTAAATTTTAAAGTGTCTTCTTTCTCAATTTAATCTCCATCTGCAAATTGTACCTATGCATTTTTTTGTAATTACTATATGCAGTGATTACGAGTATGTACACTAAGAATATTTTTTTCAGACAACATTAAGTATCATGGACTAATTCTGTTTCATTGAATCGGAATATTTTGACAAGTTATGGAGTACTTACTACTTACCTAAGTAGGTACATATTTAGCAGAACATTTAAAATATTTAAATGTAAACAACTAATATGCTTGTACCAACTGAATAGTGCTTTTATAAATGGCAGCATCTATTTTTGATACTATATTTAGGTACCTAGACCAAAAGACTTCCCTGGCCCTTTTATTAGTGGATGGGGGAGGAATTGAGGTATAAACTCAACTTTAAATTGTGCAGTATTTGTGTATTATATATATTATATTTATATTATAGTAAGTACATATTTAAATATTTTGTTTGGCTCAAATCGCACATAGACGTATTTCTGAAGCCTCAAAACCCCCCATAGGTGCAAGCAATATTACCATTTTAAACCTGTCTTATACTGGTACATAAAAAATTTCGAAAAGGGTAGGGTAGGTACCACTGAATAGGATAACCAGTGAGCCTGGCCACTAAAGCACCCAGACAGATTTTTTGTAAGTATTACAACAAATAAGAAAATTGTTCTGAGAATATGTTTATTTACAGGAGATTATCAAATGCCTAACTCTAAACGCTCATAGTACATCAAGTTGACTACGGTAAACATTTTTTTTTTGGTAGTTGTATAAAAACTTGTATTAAACCGTATATTACATTTTTAAATCTTGGTTATACCTACATAAAACAATTTCATGAAATTTTAATTTAAAATAATTTCCAAATTTTCGTCATTTTGAGAATTTTTTTTAATTTTCACTTACAACAATTTATGTGGAATCTTGTATTACATTTTCAAGTGTTTCGGCCGAGAGAAAATATTTTATCGACAATAATTAAAGAAAAACAAATAAAAATATTCTATAAATACAAATAGCTAGGGTTAATTTTTTTATAGTTATAGGTACCAAAAAACAAAACGTTATTGTCAAAAATTTATTTTGTGTATAAAACTGTTTTCTTAGATTCTGAGCGGAGCGATGAATGTATTGATTTTACAATGATTTATGTTTTTTTTTGTGTGTCTGTTGTTACACGATTTGGGGCAGTAAAAGTGCTTCTATTTTCTTCAACGGCAACTTTTCTGGTAAGAAAGTGAATCTTGTTGGGTGGCCGAAATTTGGAATTCCCAATATTTTTACAGAGCGACAGGAAAAACAAACAAAAATTTATGGAAAACCTGAACTTTTACGCAAAACTAGTTTTCGAAAAAATTGATTTTGTTTTTCAGTATAACTACTAATCTCTAAAGAAAATGACTCTAGATACATGCAATTTTCACTGATGTTGGTGTTACCATTTTCTGTACACCTTACAACTTTCAAAATATTTTGACTCGTGTTGAACTATTTATAGGCATATGAAATTTTCGATTATTATTTGTTTTTTTTTTAAACTAAATTCAATAAAAACTTTAACATATAGATATAATACAAGGTTCCTCGAAAGTATTGTTAATAAATATTTTAAAAAAAGTTGAGTTTAGCCCACAATAATTTTTTATGAGCGCCCGTAATTCAAATTTCGATATAATAGGTAAGAATCACGAAAATTTGTAAATTATTTTGAGTTAGAAATTCATGAAAATTTTTCTTTTTATATCTAAAATTTAAAAATGTAATACAAGATTCCTTATAAGTTTGCTCACCTATATCAAATAAAAAAAATGTCTACTGGAAGTTAAAATTTCATTTTTATAATCATATTAAGTTTTTATACTTTTACAACATTGGATTCACTAGATTTCTTATGTAGCGATTTTCTTATTTTATTGTAATTCAAAAACGACTTACTGTAGACACTTGAAATTTACACCATCATATTATGTTTATTTCATCAATTCATATACTTGATAAAATTTTAAAAATTAAATTATAATCTCGTTTAATAATACTCGTTTTAAGCTGTTGATGGACATAAAATGAATTTATGGACGAAATTACATACTAACACAAAAATAACGATTTTTGTCGTTCTTAATCTTACAGGCTTCCGCCTTAATAATAATAGGTATAAGTGTATAACAATATATCATTTCTAGACTGATATACCGTCTCCGATCAGAATCGTTTTTCGTATACTATTGTACCATATCATTGAATTAAAATTAAATAACGTCCATTACAGCGACCTTCTAGACACCTATAATGTACATCAAAGTAAAATCCACTAAGCCGCTTTTTTCCCCATGGTTTTTAAAAATTACTGAGAATGTTGACTCCCGAGTGCACCAACGATCAACTAGAATCACTTTCCTATCAGATAAGTTAATTTAAAATTGAAGCATTATTTCGACTACTAATTGTGTACATACACAAAAAAATTAAAAATTAAAAACACATTGTGAAAATGGTAAGATCGTTATTCTATGTTTTAATATGTAATTTCGGCTAATTTTTAACTGAAGATAACTATAAAAACCTGTATTTGTATATACTTTTTGGGTTACAAAATAAATTACTTATGTGGCCACGCCATGTTTTAAATTTTAAATTTGATATATTTTGTCAACACTTGAACTTTAAATAATTATACAAAATAAATCTTGCTTATTTATTTTTATTATTTTTAAAGCATAGAAAATTATAAAATAAACATATACTGTAAATTGCAAGTGTCGAGTTCCTCCGGTTGTTTGTTTTTAAATTACAACGAAATAAGGAAATCACTCCACGAAAAGTTGAGTAAATATCCAAATGTTGCGAACATTTGAACTTTAACACTCATACAAATTAAATTTGACTTTCCAGTAGACATTTTTATTAATAATGGTAGAAAAACTTACGAGGAACCTTATATTAAATTTTCAATTTTTATTTTTTTTACAAGGCGTACTTTTTTTGATCAACATTAATTTAAAAAAAAACTATTATTGATCAAAAAATTCATATGCCTATACATAGCTTAACAACACAATTTTGGAAATCTCATTATGTAGAGAAAATGTTAATATAAACATTCACGGAAAATTGCATTTATTTACAGTAATGGTTTTAGAGTTACGAAGAAACTGAAATCCAATTTTGCTTAAAAATTCCAGTTTTACTAAATTTTTTTTATTTTTCCTGGGCCTTTTTGAATAAATAAATTATATCCCAGTATACTGGGAATTTTAAACATTTTGACCTCCGCCCAAATGCACTAACTAAATTCACTTTCCATCGGAAAAGATGCAGAAGTTGAACATCAAAGCATTATTTCGACTACTTATCATGTACAGACAGAAAAAATTAAAAAAACCAGAAACACATTATATAAAATCATTACAGTCCGCTTGGAATCTACAATATGTCTTAACCTTTAACACGTGAAAGATTAGAATACTTTGTCTGAATCAGAAAGAAAAGCATAGCAATCGTTGATACCTATGGTTGGCATTCGAGTTGTCCGTTAAAGTGAAAAATAAACTCATCTTTATTTATATTTTGGGTGTGCCCCCTTTTCGGTTAGTGCAGTTTTCTTTAAAATTTTCAATTATAACAACTAAACTTAACAATTTAATTAAATTTAATTGTACTCAAAGTTGTGATTTTTTTAATAAAAATTATTAGGTATTTACAACTTGCTTGAAAGAGAAATTAATAAAATGATTTAACATATTATCTTACTACGTTAGTCAAATTAAAAATTAATTTTTGTTTGAAAAATGTTACTACCTAATTTATAGTCTTTACTATTCAATGTACCTAAGTTTGATTTCATTCATAGTTGTTTTTTTGGAAATGAAGACAAACAATTATTGTTCCTTGTTTTATATAATATATTGTAGAACGCCACTCAATTAGTTGTACTGATGTGTCCAAACACTCCAAAGTATATAGTAGTATATATAGTAGTATATAGTATTATAGTATAGTCGTATAGAGTAATGCCAAAATTTTTTTAAAAATTACACTTTTGGATACAATCATGTTTAATTAAATATAAAAACTGTTAAGTTAAATTGTTTTAATTTTAAAGAAAACTGTACTGGCCGATAATTGTCAGTGGTCGAAGAGGGAATGAGAACCTATTAAGTGAAGGCTAAAGGGAAGGGTAAATTGTGCCTGAAAACAAGGAGGACGCGCTATACTTCGTTTAATATGTTTCTTGGTTACCTATATAGGCAATAGGTATAGGAATTGTTTTTCTTAATTATTAGGTATCGATCTGCTAGTCAAGTTCGGTTTATTATTTTAATCACAGTCAAAGTTAAAAATTCATTAGAAATACACGTATGTCGTGTGTACTTTTTTTTAAATTCGCTCTTCCCGTACACTTTTGTATACACTATGTAGGTAGTATATTATATTCATAGTCAAACATAAAACGTGGGGTGGCCGAGAAGGGCGAAGTTAAAAATATCTTTTGTGAAATTCGTACGCATTTATACAAGTCTCACATTTTTCACTTTGAACTAGGTAGTCACATAATTTTAACATTTGTATTTTTGGGCTGCACGCTACAGTAAGGAATATCTTTTTATCGTGTTGTTCATCGACTTTCGTCAATTAATCCTGTTCTTCTTTTTATACCTGCTTTCCCAAACTATTAGCCATTCTTACCTCTAAATTCTTACAAAATATTTAAATACACATGGCATCTAATATTTGGCTTTATATACTCTATTTCGAACATTATAGGTAACTCGTAACTGTTATTTTAAGATAGGTAATACTCTTTGCAGTTTACAGAGCACTTACCTACCTACCGAAGAAAATAATTTAAAAGTGTTGACCTTTTTTTACATAACATTATTACTCAGCTTAATATTATTGACTTCCATTTTTCTTTTTAACGTAGGTATTTTTGTTACATACGTGTGTATAGTTACTATCACCTAGACAACTGTTGTTAAAAAAGAATAATAAATGTTTAGTATAGCCTTTATAGGCTTATAATATGTTATACATATATTAACACATCAAAAATGTGTCAATCACCTGGTGGCTATAACTGCCTACGTGCCGATGTACTTTATATTTTGTTTCGTCGAATTTATTTTTGTTTGTACACTATTCGAATATTGTCGTTTGAACTAGGCATAGGTACTTGTATTGTTAAATTGAATAGCAACACGACGCGGAGAATAAGATATAATTATAAATCATTTTTTACTACCTTTTTTACATTTTTATTGGTATGATTTAAATATTTAATGTACATTACTAGAACTTACTTAAAAATATTATTCACATAAAAGTACACATTATTTTTATTTAGTAGTTCACACATAGGCACACAAAGAATTGTATGTATTTCTTTACGTATATTATACGTAGGTACAATTATGTTAATGAATAATATGTTAATCAATTTCAGGAACACATACACAATTTGTTAAGATAATATAATGGAATCTGGAAGTATTAATATTGTAAAATATTTGTTACTCATCTTTAATGTGATATATGGGGTAAATCTATATTTAAAATACTGAATAAAGTATATGTAGATACCTTTGTTTTCTAATATTTACTATATTTAAAATTTCTATTTAAATGTTTAGATTACAGGAGTGGCTTTAATAGTAATTGGCATCATAGTTATTGTAGATTTGGGACGTTTTTCAAATTATTTAAGTGCTTCAATTATGGCTCCTCCAATATTGTTTATTATATTGGGTTTCTGTATTATAGCAACATGTATATTTGGATTTTATTGTATTAACAAACAAAATTTCAATTTATCAGTGGTGGTAGGGATACCTATTTCAATAACCATAATAATATAAACGTATATTGAATATTATTGAGTAATTAAATGTTATATTTGTTTATAGTTTACATTAATTTTACTATCGGTTCTGGTAATTGAAGTATTATTATCTATTATGTCATCAGTATCTAAAGACAATTTTAATAATAATTTAAGATATTCTCTAAAAACGTCCATGGGAAAATATTCATTTGATGAAACTGATCGACAGTCGTGGTCTACGATTCAACGAAAAGTATGTTCATACATTTAATTATTAAATAGTAATGTTTTGAATCTTAATGTTAGAGTAAGAACCTTATGTTTACCAAACTTTAAATGATTGTTCAAACTTGAATCGAAATTCAAAACTTATGTTACTATACAACATTTTACATAATTTATATGCATTATTTTCAATTCGATCACTTAATTACATGTATACATTTAAATAATAAATTAATCTATTAAAATAAATAGTGAACATAATTGAATTGAATTGGATTAGGCATGAGGTAATAGTGAAGGTAAACTATACATAAGAAATTTAGTTCAATTGATTGATTTGACGATTGATTTGGTTTGAATGCTTTCAATTTTCAGTTCGTTTTTGAAAATTGAACCGTTTGGAACATAATTTATTTCAAACAATATTTGGGTACCTATGTAACAACCATGTGTAATTTAAGTTTAATATGATTTAATACAGCTAGAATGTTGTGGTGTAGACGCACCTAGAGATTGGTCTATTATATTCCCAGAAAATCTAGTTCCTGTTTCATGTTGTCAAAATTTACCAGTTGAATTAGGTGCATTATGCAGGAATTTGTTTGACGAAAGAATAATTTATCAAAAAGGATGCTATAATGGATTAAACAATCGAGTGAAAACTAGATTAACCATTATAATGTATGTTGCTTTGGCATTTGGTCTTTTCCAGGTAATTAAAATGTTCTTAGTACCTACAATAATTTATAGAAAACTAGAAAACTATATTCGATTTGAATATAAATTACGTTTGTTTTAGTAAATTGTTTATGTTTAAACTCTAAAATCTTAAATAAATAGTGTTTTATATTTTGGCATTTAGCGACTACTCGTGAAGATTGAAATCCATTTTTTAAATAAAACATTGAAAAATTCTTTATCAGTTCCAATCATAGCCCATAGGTAATAATGACTATAGAAATAATAAACCTACGCCTATGTATTATATTATAATTAAGCTATTACATAGGTATACGGCTATACATATAAAAATAAATTACTTTAGAACTTTTTGCATCCTTTTTCAGTAGTTACTTGTTGGTTACCTATGCTATTCGATTGGTAAGATATAAAATATAAAGTTATTCGTCATAAGTCGTAATACTTAATACAAGTATATTATATAGTTGATTTATATTAAACCAAATTTATTTTTATAAAACACTAACCATAAATTAAATATGAATGGTGTATGTTAAAAAATCAGTGACATACCCCCTCTCCTGACAAAATCATTTAACCACCATTGCATGGTACACTCGACGTCTACTGTACAGCAGTAATCTACTTTTCCGCTTATTTTTTTTAGTTAAAATAGAAGTATCAATATTTATAAGACCTATCTTTAAAAAAAATCAATTTTTTACACATTTTTCATAAAAAGCTAATATTATAGACTATAGTGTGAAATAGGTGCTGTTTTTAGTGATGGGCAATTTAAACAGCTTAAAAATACTTTAGTTATAACATTTGTTTTCTCAAACGTTTTTAACTGTAAGCTTAACTATTTTAATAAATAAAATAAAGATAAATCTCCTACAATTTTCTTTATAGTTTCTCATATTGAGAATGAATGAATAAATCGATAAACAAAATTATATATTTGTATAGTGTATTATTTACATATAGTATGATATGAAATTATGTAATGTAGAATATAGCTATGTATGAAACTGAAATACAATTATAGTGTATAGCTATTAGCTTTATATATACTTAAAATTTAAAAACTTAATATTTTTCAGGTAATCGGCGTCGTGTTAGCTTCTTCTTATACGTATCTATTGAAAAATAGTCAAGGAAGCAAGTAAGATAATTATCGTTTTTTTTTAATGAGAAGTTGTAAAATTGCTGTACATATACTCATTACTCATTATGGCATCACACGACTTGTATATAAAACAAGTAGGTTGGTATCATATATAATATTTGTATATAAATTGGTTGTATAAAAATCTTTACTTTTTAAAGTACCAATCTATTTTGTATTCATAACTTTGTTATAATGATTAAGATGTGAATATGTGATTATTATGTAGTTATATATTATCAAATCATCTAGTTATAGCAGATTTACTTCTAGTTATATATATTATTTATATAATATTAATATTTTTAATTGATCATATTTTCCCATCCAATAAACTCGAAAATCAAACTTTAGATTATGTACTTTATAAATTATATATTAAATTAATGTTGTATGTTTTAGAAATGCACATAATTTTATACAAAGCAGTTGACAGCAGAATGATGTAGGATTTGATACTAATTATTCGAATAAATCCTACAACCAAAATACGTATTCACAAGACACGTTAAGCCGTAAAGATCAATTAAACAATTTATTAGATGCATTGAGAAAACAAAAAAAAAAAATGCATTTTTAAAAGGTGTTCATATGATATTTTCCTTTTTTTTATAATTGTATGTAAAATTGTATATACTATTATCTTCTACTTTGTAGCTATTTATTTAGACTTCGATTCCTCATACGAGAGTTTTTTTTTGTAAATTGGTGGTACCTATATATTATTTTATATTTAAATTTATTATAATATAACTGTATATAGATGCAGCCACAAGTGCAATTTCCATTTGGTTAAATAAAAATAGGGTTCATTTTATAGTTCTTTGTTTGGTGGTACCTACATTCAAGAATTTTTCTCTCTAGACATGAATTGTACCATTGCTGCAATGCGTATACTCATCCATTTCACTCTACCATCAATAAAGAAAATATTGAATTTATTATAATTAATAACAATAATTCAAATTTCAAATTATTAACCATATAGGTAACATATGCCCATAAACATTAAAAAAAAATTATGTAAATCAAAAAACATGGATGGTCGGATAAAGTATAAACAGAAGCGGAATCAGAGATATCAGAAATAATATATCAGCATATATATACCTACAACTTCTTCAAAATCATAGACCTATAAAGATAAGTTCCTTTCTTTATGGGTCTATAATATACTGTCTAATGTCTATGCATCTAATATCAATATGCTATTGCCGTATCTCACTATTAAGTATTAGTTATAACGAACTACAATATGTTCATAAATCATAATAATATTCCAATATGTACATTATGCACCAAACAAATTTGTCACTGATTTTATAAAAAAATTAGTCGTAGGTACTTATACTTGACCTATACCTACACTAGTTCGTGTGGCGCAAGTTGTTGGATTCACTGTTATGATTAAGAATCCTTCACCGAGGAGTTCACTCGCAAGTCGCAATACATTGATTATTCATCTACCTACTTATTATGCTCTCATTGAAATTTTTATTATAAAATCCACCGTACTATTATAATATTATTACAATGGCGTGAGTTTTCGTTGCTGACCGGCGACCGATCATTTTCCGGGTTAGGTCAGGCCACGTAGTCTGAGTCCAACAATGTATTTAATTGGAGAAAGTATAATAAAAAAGTCTTTATAATTAATTAGTAGTAACATATAACTTAAGATTAAACTCAAAATACACAAGACAATACAGCATTATGAATAAAGCACATTATTATAGGTACCTATAGCTAATAAAATATAATGTAGGTAATATATTTTAATAAAAAAAATCGTACGTGTTGCAATAGTACGTGCGGATAAAGTAAAAATTTCTTTACAGGGGGTATGAAAAAAAGGTTCATCAAGGCACAATATAGAGTTTGAACATTAAAATAAAAAAAATATTGAAATTGAAATGAATTTATTATTGTTATACAAAGATAAAACAAGTTGATAGGTAAAGTACGATATACCATTTTTGCAACATACGATTGAGCATAGAATATTATATACGACGTTGCCAAAATAGTATAACTTATTTATTATTTTCAAATATAATTACACCAATTATTAGGTTATCAAACCTTTTGGAGACTGAAGGAGAAGTACTGGCACCATAGTTCCTCCTCTAATCCTCGAAAAAAAAAAAAAAAAGGTTATCAAACCTTAACGAGCCAAGAGCTGTGATTCAAGCTCGGCTTTATTGAAAATATTACCAAAAAACTTAAAATTTTACGAAAAAAGCTTTCCACCAATTTCCAAATCGTGTAAGAATACGAGATCTCTACTCTATAGTATATTTTATTTAAACCAACTTGGAAACAGATATTATGATATAGGTATATGTATATCAATTTAATTTATTATTATTATTATCTATTTCACACCAGCAATTAAAAAAGAAGAGAATCACGGAGTTTCTCATATGCTCAATTGTGTATGTTTTCATTTGTATTTCTATATGCTATATAGGTGCATCTTCTTATTTGCCGACAAATTTGCTCAATCGCGTTGTAGACTTATTTATTAGGCACCAAAGAAAGTGGTTCAAACAATCGACTGGATTTTTGTAGACCGGCATGTGCCGTCCGGTTTCTGATACATAGGGTCAGTTCACCCAGTGCACCTCCTCAGGGGCATATTTACTGCGCTAGGAGGAACACGGCGACCGGCCGGCAAAACCTGATCGTCTGTTTGGAGTTTTGGTCCCATAGATTGTGTAAGCCACGTCTGTAACCCCTTTGCAGTCGCGACGCTGAGCTTTGAATCCGACTTAAGTTACCGCGACCATAGGCGGTACTAGACCGTCTTGGCAGGAGTGAGGGGACAGAAAATATTTTAACTGTTTTTTTTTTTTATTATTATTGAACTTAAGCCCGGCGACTAAGGCCATTAGCTGTTGTAAGGGTTATGAACTGTGGTAGGGGTAAGGTTGGTACTGTAGGTTGTTTTTACGTTTGTTTTGGGTTGTTACGGTAGGTAGCAAATACGTGTATGTGTGGCAAGGTTTTTAACTACTATGAACCCGGGTGGTCACCCATCCGGGAGCTAGTAGCTGTGGCCGTTACATAGGTTAGGTTATTAGGCATTCCACGACTGGTAGCAGCCAAGCCACTTTTAACTGTTTATATTACTAAATTTGTCCACATTTTTAGGCTAGTACCTAATACCTACTAAAGGGGCCTCTACATGCACCAGCCCGTTTTTGATTGAAAATAACACATTGTAAATTTAACCATAAGTTTTGAAAACGGATTTAGATTTTTCAATACTTGGTTGATGCATCGGTCGGGATACATTTTGAATTTTTATTGTCAATATTATTTTTTAAATGATTACAAAACTTAAAAAATTGTAACTTTTCAAGTCAAAATAATTAAATAATTACAAATATTTTTTAAATTGTATCACGAGCGATGCCTTGAAAATGTTATTAAGAATTTATAAGTTTTTTCAAAACTTAAATCGGAGTATTTATAGGAGCGTACTGTTAAAAGTAGAATCCTGTCTTTAGAGCTAAATTTTTACTTTTCATTTATTTCGAACAAGCTTTTTGACATGTGCCTGCGACTCGCAAGTGCATAAAGTGACCCCACGCAGCATTCTCAACCATCACGTCGTCGTGCTATATCAAAATAAATATATTAATATACGAGGAAAAAAGGTATTAAATACGAAACTATTGAAAATGATGATCAATTTTGGGAAAATAATATGTTTCCGAAGCTGCAAAATTTTTTTCTTTAACGGTCTTTTACCAGAACTAGTTGATCCGAGACATTCCAGAAGCATGCAGATTAGAAATCCTACTTATATTTTGGAAGCAAAACAGAAGAAAGAAAAAAATGTGGAATTAGTATAAATATTTAGATTTTTTTCTGTTCTACTTTTTTATATTTATATTTATATTTCAATTTATGTTTAATTGTATTTATTCAAATATTATGTTATAAATATGATGTTCGGTTGCTTATATTTGAACTAATGCCAATTAGTTGTAATAAATCATAATTCATAATCTGCATAATCAATAAACATATTATAATTACAATTGAACAAGGTTCTTTATATGAACAATAAGTTCCAATTTTCAATTACAAATATAATGAAATAATAAAATGTATTAAACTCATTGTCAGCCTGGCCATCGCCGCTGTCAAGTGATATTATGATTATCAGACACAGCCATGGGCGCCCATTGGGGGGGGGGGGAAGGACAGGGCACTTGCCCCCCCCCCCCGGAAAAAAATATTATGAACTTGTAGCTCAATAAANTCAGCCTGGCCATCGCCGCTGTCAAGTGATATTATGATTATCAGACACAGCCATGGGCGCCCGGGGGGGGGGGGGAGGAAGACAGGGCACTTGTCCCACCCCTGGAAAAAAATATTATGAACTTGTAGCTCAATAAATATTACCACAATATTGCTTTATTACCGAATTTTTTTATTTTGACCCCCCCCCCAAAAATGTTACCTGTGGGTGCCCATGGACACAGCAAGTTCACACCATAACTTACTAGGTATCAAGCAGTTTATTATTACGGTAAAGTCTGCAGGTAAGTATAAAAATTAATAAATAAAAATGTTTGATGATTCCTTTAACATTTAGAATCTGTAATATATTGGGACGTAATAATATTATCTTATCTTGTTTTCGGGGTCGCGCCGTCGACGCGTCGTACCCAGAAACCATCTAAATTGACTTACTAACCCTAATGTCCCATTTACGAGTATACAATTCCTAACACATCCACAACAGAAGTTTAGAGATTGCCTATATAATTTTCCTTAATAAATGTTAGTGTTGAGGCCCCTTAAAAAAAATAACATGAATTTTATTCATAACAATTGTTGTATCTGAATAGTATTTTTGAAAAATAAAATGAATTTATTAACTCCACACGTCTTTGACCATCTGGATCATTTTCGTCTAAATATTATTGAATTTGATTAATTTGGTAGGCGGAAAAAAAGCCCAGAAAAATAATTTGATTGTGACCACATGTATCTACCTGTAATCTGTATACCCTAGTTTTAATTAGTAATTCATAATCCATAAATTATTACAGCCAATATAGGTAATTTTATATGCGAAGACTCAATTAATAAGAAACTTTTTTTTACCTATTTATTCAATGGAGATTTTCGAATATAAATAATTTTATGTCCGAATATGGCTTATGCCTAACTATTAATTATATGTAGAAAACAACTTTTAATAAAAAAAAAAATTTAAACATAAATTTGAACTGATCTATACATAATATACAGTGTTAAGTTATAAATCAAAAAATATCAGGGCTATAAGTATAACATTAACATCTTAGGTATAAATACACTACATTTATATAAAAATTGCATATGATAATAACTTATGACATTCTTTTCATTATAATATATTATATTTTGTTATAGGTACACGCCACATGGTAATTACTAATTAGGTACTAATTATGTATGAGACATGAGTGTAGGAACATCATGTGTTCACATTTATATTTAATTTTTTCTGAGCTTTTTTCCGTTGCCTTATTTTCTGCGATGCATTATCTTACTTTACTATACTTCATTGTTAAATCAATACATTCATCGTTCCACTCAGAATTTAAAATATAAGAATATTTTTTTTGCACAACCTAGATAAAATACTGGTAAATTCATAAATGCATTCAAATCAGTAAATAGTAATCATCTAACATCGGAAGTACTTAAGGTTTTAACTATCTTCGACTTAACACTTTAATATTAACAAATAAAAAGCATATTATGTACTTCAAATTCTTCACGAAATTGTTAACCAATAAAATATTTTGAAACAACGCCATCTATGAGGGTTATTATTTTACGTGATTTCAGTAAAAAAAAGAGGTCCTCGTCCCTTAACATTTAGCAAATTATCCCAATATTATGATTTTAATAAAAACTTCAAAAACTATTTTTCTGAGTTCAGACAATGTAATAAACAATAGTTCAGGCGTTCCAGTCGTTCGAAGATAAATTTTAAGTTACATTTTAGACCATCATAAAATTTAATTTCAAATTTTAACTGATCATCAGATCATGATACGATTTTTATTATTTTTATTAAATTAATATACATTGATAACATGATAAGTGATAACTGGACCAAATGTCAAAATGTTTTAATTTTGTTGCTTAATAATTATGAGTGTTGTTTATTTTTAACCAGAATTAAGGATGGTACGATATAAAAACCGGTAATTATGAAAACAATTATTAAGTATCAACAGCGTTTACTTAATCAACTTTTGAATTGTTGGAATATAACCAAGTTAAAGCTTATTACTATTAATTTTAAAATTTAATTTTAAGAATTTTTTTTTCTAAATTTTTAAATTCATCTACAAAAGCAATATTTTTCAACTAGTAGGCTGAAAAGCAATTAGAATTATCAAAATAATCAATTAAATAAAAATTAGTCAGGTTTTGATATACATGAAAATCAGTTTTTTTTAAGTTAATTACCATAAGAATACTGAATCAAATATTCAAATTCACTATGGTTGAATACCTACCCCTGTAATAGAATGTAGAAAATATGGTTAGTACATAGCAACCTACTTATATATCAGATTATAACTAATATCAACATAAAATCCTAGATCAAGACTTCAAATAATTGTTGTGTAGTCTATTATTTGTCAATTGCTGTTTCATCATTCACAGATCAAAATAATATGATTACCCTATATTGTATTGTAGGTAAACCGTCCAGCTGTTAACTATAAAATGTTTTACCTACATTAAAGAGTGGTTGATAGTTATTACAGTTGGACTGACTCATCTAGTAGGTACACTTTGAGGTCTGTTTACATTTGAGGCTGAACACGAACAAATGCAAGCAAATGCTACCAAACTAATTCAAACACAGTGCAACACATATTCATCATTTTTATCAGATTTCCCCTGAGCCGAACACTTCCAAATGTGAACAAATGCATTTATTCGTGTTCGGCTAGACTGTTTACATTGGTTTGTTCAATAGCAATCGCTTGTAATTTTTGCTTGGTCTCTAATATAAATGTACCTTTATATAATATAACCTACCTAGTTCTAATATAATATACATTTTATGTTAAAATGAACACTTGTAATCTAATAACCTGTGATGCTTAATTAATAGAGAAAAAAAAATATACACATTTTCCTTATGTTTTATAAGTATCTATTTTTTTTCATAAAACATATATCTCGTTTTTAGTTACATGGTTGTCCAATTAAGAACATTGGAAGATGATAATTTAGATTTTAAAATTTCTGATAGAGAATTACAAATAACAGTATTGAACATGATTAAATCATTACATGGAGATTTTGGAGCTGGAGCTATTAAAACATGTTTTAAAGGTAAATACAATTTGTTTTATTTCCCATACAATTAACAGTTGAAATTAGAATAAACTAAATATATAATGTTCTTTTTAACATTTATTAAACATCAGTATGAATCAGTAAATAAATTAACTCAGAAATTAATCTAAGAGCTTAACTTCAAATTCTACGCCTTGAGTAAAACTTTAATAAACTCACACTTTCTCCTGTAATAACTTGCATTGATTCAGTTCTATGGTACATAACAAGGTCAGGATAGAACCAATGAGTTAAACACTGTGGACTGGGCAATATTTTTGTATAATAAGTATTAAACTTAACTGTTATAACCCATTTCAGTAAAGGCAAAGGTAATTAAGATTCTACAACTTTGTGGTCCGGTACTTAACCTATTCGGGCTATCCGGAGCTGTACATAAACCATTGCTATAACTTTTAGCAGAAAAAAATATTTATTACAAACTATTAAGACTATTGACTTGTGATCTAAAACCTCAATTCATTGAAAATTTTATAACATTCTTAAAAAAATTCTCAATATATCTTCATAATCTAATATCTTTCATAATATATTCATTTAATCTCTTTGAATACTATATGAGTAACTGCTCCCTCTTGGTTATTAAATTACATCTGTTTAATATCACAATTACTAATTACCTACTATTAGTGACAGTTATTATACATTTTCTTAGAACTTGTATCAGTATGTTTAGTACTTTTACTTTAGAATAAGTTATACACCTGATAAAATTATTGAACATGTGAATGGTAATTGTCATTAATTTTTGTTTAAAGTTTATTATTTTAGTGTTTTTAATTTTTTTCAGTTCGGTATTGTAATCCAACAACAAAAATTATCATTTTTAAAACCAGACACGGTCCTCATCAATTTCTCTCTTCTGTTATACCTTTCATTAATAAACTTCAAGAGAAACAAATTCAATTATCAACACTTTATACTGGTGCTTCCATGTTTCAATGTTATAAATTTATTCAGGTAATTTAACTTTACTTTATCTTGTATAATTTGATATAAATATATAAATTTAGTAATAGTATTAAATAATTGATTGAATAATAATTTAATAAGTCTGGGCAATTAATCATAATTTTTAAATGAGTTAAGTTATTGATAGAAAACATTTTCAAAAGTTTAAAGTTAATAGTTGTCCTAAATATTTTTTTAAATATATTTAAATAGTCAGTAATATGGTTTAAAATAATAAAAATCATAAATGTTAATGACAATATTGGCTGTTTATAAATCTAAACGCTTTATATATATATATGAGCATTACCTAATTATTTTTAATTTAAAAACTTAAGACACTAGGACTACCAGGTTTTGGCCCCTACCAACCGTAGATCTCATGTTATCGCTGTGCGCTATTTGAGAGCCGCGGTCGCTTATAGTTTAGGTATGGTATGGTATAAGTTATTTTTATTGAACAATTCTGGTTAGTGAAAACAGAATTAAATTTTATTAAATTTTCTCTTTTAGTGAATGTTTACGCAATATGCATCATTAATAATAATTTTATTATATTTACTATAATTTTTTATAAATTAACTTCACTGAATCAATAAAAATAAATTAAAGTTAAATTGCATTAACTCATTTATGCCCAGGCTTGTAATTTAATGATACAAAGATAACTCTGCCTTTCAAAAAGTGTTAAGCTCACATATACAAATTAATAAAAGCAATATATTTAAAGCACAGACTAAGATTAGTCCGTGATTTGAAGGTATCTTGAAGTTTTTCTTTTATAAGATAAAATAAATATAACACAACAGAAATGAATTTAAAGCAACTATCTTGAAACTAGGATAGCTTATTTATTTATTTATTTTAAAAAATTGATGTTTTCATAAATGTTCTACTAAGTTGTATAATTTATAACTTGCTTGAAAATACCGCTTCACACTATGTAATCATCAATTTCTGGACTAAGTATTACTATATTCCACATTTGTATTTTAAATAAATTACTGTCTTTGGCATGGGTTTTTGATAAATCTTTTAATTAAATTGCCATGTTATTGCTGTTAGTAATACAAAAAAAAATTAATTAATTTTAAATTTGTTTCAGAGTTATCAAAAAGATCTTGTAAGAAAAGTAACTGATACAATAAGTGAGAAAACCAAAGAAAAAATGTTAACTATCACTAATGTATTAAATTTTTGATTTTCCTAAAGATAGGTTTTTTAAATTTTAAATTTTTTCAACTATAACTAGTGCGTATCCAATTTTGGCCAGTTTATGGGATAACTTAGTATGACTTTCAACTTTTCAAGGTAGTTCATAAGGAACAATGTCGATTGAAGCGACTTTATTATAAATATAGACATGTAATTTATTTTGGCGAATTTCCAATTAAAATATACTAAGAATGTCTGATATCACCCAATTATATGGAATATATAATATAGTTTACAACATTTCATAATCAATTTTAAAAGTCTTATGGTCTAAATAAACTATAATATTTTCAATAGGAAATGATTTAATACAACTATTTTTTCAACATTTCAAATATTCATGTGTTACATACTTACATATATGCCCTAACTACCACCACCCCTCAAGAATTATTGAAATATATTTGTATATTTCATATCTGTATCTGTAATAACTAATAAGCTAATTAGTCCATGGTCAAAAATTGATGCTTAATTAATATTAACATCAATTTGGGTCTGCAAAAAAGTTAACTAGTGCATTTAGTATGAACCAAATCATGACAGATATTGTAACTTGTAAGATTTATTACTATAAGAAAAGATTAATATGGAGTTCTTCAATAAGAACTTTGTAAAAAAAAACAAATTTGAATATTTCAACCTTCAGTTTTATTAGTTAGAACCAAAATTAAGTCTGTAATGACAATATATAATGAAAATGTCAAATATATTAATAAACTTGCCCAAACTGGAATTTGGGAGGTACACTATGAAATGTATTGTTGTTAAATAATGAGTTTTCTATCCTGTGCTCGTAGAGGTAGATTACTCAATAATATTACAGGCAGTAGTGGCTATGCTTACAATCTACATAATTAATTAAAATAAACTAAAATATTTCACAATACAATACATAGGTTACCTAAACCTATGTTTGTGTAAATTTATATTTTTAATGAGAATAGTGTGTACAATAGTATATATTAAAATAATACATCAAAATCTCTTCCCATTTTAAAGTTAGTTATTGTCAAATAAATTATAACTAGATATTATGTTATGTAATTTGCCTGGGCTCATAGTTTGTGCTTTTGCAGACCAATCTCGCAAAATACAAGTGAACAGACATTTTTTTGATTTCAAGGGTGTTGTTTGTTTCAGCATCAACTTTTGCTTAATAGTGGATTTTTTTTTTATTTTAAGATGAAAAAATTATTTTGAACATCAAAATTTGTTTGAAAACTTTAAAAATATTATCAATATATTATAATACAGAAGATGGTTTAACAGTTTAATGATTAAAAATAAAATGTTTCCAAATAATGGTCGACCCAGAAAACCAATAAAAACAACTAAAAACAAATTAATTAACAAAATAAAAATATTCATAAAAGAATTATTTAGGTTTAGTTAGGTATTGTTGATATATCAAAAAATAATTAATACAATTTTTGTTTTTTATAGTTGTTTTTATTGAAGCATTAATGCACAATTTTGGTACACGTTTGATTATTTTTAGAAATATGGGTGAATAAATAATACACAAGTATTATTTAGAGCATTAACTTACTACCCCTGGTCATTAAAATATTTTCTTCCAGGCAATTGAAAATGAGTAATGCATGATTTAGAGTTTCAAACAGTGTTTTTAAGTATTTTTATTAGTTAATCCTCAACAGTGACATAAACATTAAGTACACACAAATTAAAGTCGGTACAAGTTAATATTAATTATAACTACACGTAAAAGTAAAAATAAAATATTTTGTACTACATTGTATGCTATACACTTACGAAGATGTGTAAACTTATTAAATACACTTTAAAAATCAAAAAAGTAAATTAAGTTGTTTTTCATTTAAAATATAATTCTTTTCTCAATAATTAATTTCCATAAAATTATATATAATACACACAAAATGAATAAACTGATTGTATAATTACCTTTAAAAATTATTACAGCTCTATTTTTTAGAAAAAATATAAATTTGTTCAGATTAATATTTATATACTTAAGTGTATATTATTTTAAAATTATAATGAAAGTTAAGGTAAAATAAACATGTAATTTAACGAGATAAAATATCGACTTGATCTTGATAACTTTTACAGAATTATATTTGCACAAAGAAATTATCTAATACATAATAGCTAAAATACAATTGAGATTAATACTAATTAAAATAAAAATATTATAGGCATAATAAATCAATAAAATATGATATATTATATGAACAATAACATTATAATTACATAATCATACATAGGAGAAAAAACTAAAATTAAAATCCAGGAAGATGACAGATTGATGTATAAAAAAAGGTTAATATTTATATAGGAACTTAAAATTCTAACTTTGAAAAAAAATCACACAATCAAACATTAACATACTAAACAAGATAATATTACTGAAGAGATCAATTAATGGGCCAATTTAAATAATTGTATCAGCAGTTTGTGTATTAAAAAAATATATTTGGTGATGTCTGGCAATGATTTTTATTCATATATTTCTAGGTAATAAATTAAATATACTATTAGGTTGTTAACATTTATAATTATTAAATATACACTTTAATTTATATAATAATAATAATAAGCATATTTTAAAATCAACATTAACATAGCAATTTATAATGTTAGAATATCAATTTCTAATAATTAGAACCTATCTAGCAGATACTTAAAGATAATACTAAGTTCATTAAAATATATTATATAAAATTAAATCAATAGAAATGTTACACAAATAATTCAGCGAGAAAAAAAAGATACAACTATTTTATGGGATCTAGAATACACAAATATATTCAAACTCTGTACAATATTTAATAATGTAATATTATTTTTTAAATTAGATTATAAAATACTTAATTGTCTTTAATATATAGGTAAGCAATCAATTCTAGACTAAGAAGACTTAAATATATAAACATAATTATGAGATGCAAAAATATAGTTTTTTAACATATTTTTATACTATACCTAGTTTTATGTTTCTTTATTTTCACATTTTGGTTATATTTGTCAATAACTGCTTAAATGGTTTTTACCTTAAAAAGAATATACATTAATGTTTTCAATGATCAAGCTTGTTCAGCTTTAGCTTTGACCTTTCGCAATAGAGGTGGAAATTCATCAAGGGTGTACCTATATTTGAACACGTGCATTTGTGCAGGACAATCACAAAGTTGCTTAAAATGCCGAAGACATGCCAGTCTTTTTGGATCACATAAACAGGATACAGCAGATATATATAGAGTGGTATTACAAATCATACATTGTCTAAGGTCATCTACCTGGTGTTCAAATTCAACAAAATCTGCTTCAGTAACACCCCAATCTAAAAGTGCTTTACGTTGAACTCTTTCAAACTTCACCATTTCATTCAAATCATCATATACAAGTTCAGCTGCTTTTGGTGCCAAGTCATCACAAGAATTCACCATTTTGCATATAAGTTCATCATGGGAAAATACACATATTCGTTTGAGAGATGAATAATGATTAACACATTCACGACCTATTGAAATCCAATCAGCAGGAGCAAAATTCACAGCTTCAGCAAAATTATATCCTTGATTAAATCCAGTATGGTAAGATCTCGGAAAAGTAACAACAAATTCTCCAGCATTCTGATCAGTTCGATAAATTGGGACATTTGCTTTCATCAATATATTTGGATTCAGAATAGTAACCAACTGATGTAAGAGGTCTGGCTGAGAATGAAATAATTCTGGTGTAGTCTCCTTCATAACTTCTTCAAACGCTTCAGCAGAAGCTCCTGGAACTCCATACCATGTTTTTGGTTCACCCCAATGTAAATAGTTGATCGAATAGCTCCAATGATCTTCATTATGCCAGCAAAATGTGGAAAAACACATACCAACATACATCCATGGAATTTTCATACCAGATATATCAGCATTAATAAAACTAAGAACAGAGTCTTTGAGTATTGGTATATTATTTAAATTCCAATGGTCTTCTATATATGACTTGTAAAAAGTATTATCTTCATTTCCACAAAGTGCTAGACCTGTAGGGAATCCTGATCCATGATCCATAGTATGTAAATCAGCACCATATTCTGCAATTACTGTAGAGTCAATAGATGAAACGATTTTCCAATACTCCTGTTCGACTTTGCTGGTAGGCACAAGATGAACAGGCATGTTAAAATATTTGGATTTAAATTGGTCAGCCATTTCTCCAAATTGTTGAAGTGTGTACTCACGCTGGGCTTGTTCAAATCCAAAAGCATCACTAGGTTTGATCACTTCATTGATCACACATTTATGACATCTCCATTCACCCTTGGGAATAGTAGTTAATGGTATAATTAAACAGTGCATGTGGAAACTTAAATCACAGCCATCACAAATTAAAATAGTCTCTTCAGATTTACCACTTCCACATTTTTGACAGTAATATTTATCCAAATAATCTACAGCAGGTTTAGTTTTTCTTTTCGACTTTTTAGAATCTTTTGTCTTTAAATGTCCTATTCTACACTTGGAACTGAAACCGGCCATCTTAGGTCCAGCACCAAAAAATTGTAATTTTCTTAATTCTTTATTTTCCATTAGATAAAATGGATCCTTTATGTAATCATCAGATTCATTTTCATCATCTGGGCTGAGTCTAGCTCGTTTAGTAGGTGAATTTGAAACAGATGAACTTTCTTCTTTAATATTTACAACTTTATTCTCTCTTTTAATTGGTTTGTTATAAATTTCATCTTTAATGGTGGCATGAAAAAGTGAAAAAGGATTAAGCCACCTCTCATGATGACTTTTTAAAACTGTACCAGAAGATTTTTCACAAACATAACCCATACGACTCGCCACTTTTCCCCATTTTTTTGCCAAACATACTTCATCAAAACCTCCTTCAAATTCTACAATTTTATAAAGAGAATATAAATCTACAGCTCTTTGTTCTAATACTGGTATTTTAATACGAATCCCTTGTAAATGCCAATATTTGGCAATTTTTTCCAAGAAATTGAGTTTAACTCTAGTACTTGCATCGAGTTCATTTAGTTTTTGAATCCTTGGTGTAAATTTAAAGTTATCGACATCAACACAAAATGGAGGATGCCAATTAGATGGAGGTTTAATTTTACAAATTCCATGTTTTTGAGCTTCACTTCTAATTTTAGCAATATATTTCAATGGATCTTTAAATTCTTCTGCAGTAGGTTCAAAAACTGGAGCTTCCGGAGGAACCTTGAAAACGAATTTGCCTTTTTCCATAAGACTGACAGGATCAATAAATTTTCCTTCAGGACATTCTTTTTGTTTTGGTTCATCAATTTCAAGTTTACACTTTACATCTCTTTTTACACTCATTTTAATATTAGGCTATGATATAAAGGTAATATATACGAATATATATAAAGACAATTATAATTACTTACTTTAACAGAGATTAAAACACTTGCAATATAAAATTATCGAATGTTAAAAATTGAAAATGTACGTTGCATTTTAAAGAGTCAAGAAGCATTGCGTTTTGAACGATGGAGTCGATGGACGTCCATCCCACATTTCTAAAATGTCACGTAGTCCACACTACCCACCTCCACTACACCAACGCTACTGCGGCGGGTGATCCGTTTAATGATTTTCAAAAAGGAAGGAAAAAATATCTTCCGCGTTCCTCGCGTAGTCTTCTGATCTGTCGTCGTTGCTCTATTGCGCCAAACCAGACAAAACAGAAATGAATAACAATTCCGTAGGTATACGCACGGAAATAGTTAAAAACTAATTTTAAGGCCTTTTGTTTAAAAGTAGCGACTTCACTATGGAACTATGGAAGATAGAATGCAGCCAACATACACATTGCACACAGAAACACACAAATACAAAACAGACACACACATACACACACAAGACTTCGACACAGACACGAAAGTGATGAGGCTCGCCGCTCGCAGCATAGAAAATAATATATTACATAGCTGCTCGCACCACTACCAACTACGGGATATACGCACGCACGCACTCGCAGTCGCAATAATATCGACACAATTATAAAACTACCTACAGAACGCCTGAACGCGGGCACGGACCAAAGCTGTGGCCTGCGACAGACCTATAATAATTAAAATATTAACAATAAAATAATATAATATACCCCCGACGCGCAGCCAGAATTGTTACGGCACGGAGTCCAATCGCTCCGACCCGCGATGTTTTTCAATGTGTGTTCCGGTCGAGTCAACAGTCAACCCAGTATACCAGGACGCTGTGCGACCCGTTCGACGTCCCTTAGTCGTCAGACAAAAATGCAAAAAAAATCCTGCCTACTAATCGTGCGAGTGCAAACGACTAATGATATTGACCGTGTTTCGTCACCCGGTAGACGAGTTTACGATTCGCGTGCGACATTTCGTGAGACTAGATACGAAAGTCCGCACGATAGAAACGTGGACATTAACATAATCCATACAATAAATTATCTTTGTGCATAAATTAAACATGGGTAGATATCTGATTCGTTAATATCTCTTCCAACTATGATCGTTTCGACGTTTCGGTAGATACTCATTACCTACGATACCGTTGGTTTATATTTTGTCGTCGCTGGACTACGACAGTTCACCAGTAGTATTTTTTATACGTATCTCCACAGCGTAGAGGAGATACTTTCTCTATAGAGTTGTGTGAATCATTAATAATTAGTTTTACTAAAACAGTCCAACGACCCCTAGCGGCTCTCAAATACTATCATACAAATAAAAAACCTGTCATTTATCACATCAACGATCAATGGTACAATACTGTAATATGAGAAATTAGTAACTAATAACTATACAACTATAAATGATTACCCTTGTTTCTAAGATTGAGGTTATCAATTCCAGAACCAGAAATTCTATTAATATTAAAGAATTCCCACAAGAATTTTAAAATAGATTTCGTATTGTGAATAATAATAAAATTACAACAATTTATTTTAAAAAGTATGAAACTTCCATGAAATATTACAATCAAGAATGTTTAACAGTAACCGTAAAATAAAAATAAAATCTATTGATAAATGGTAGTTCTTAAAATATTTCATTCGAAAGTATAAAAATAAAAAATAGCAAGTCTATAGAAACAAACAATATATAAAAAAAATTAAATTTCGCAATACGATATATACATGAAATATAAATAGTGATTGTTATCAATAAAACTTTCCGAAGCACAGTAATCAAAAACGTGATAAATGATTCTAAACCATGTACAAGTCAATAAAACACAATATGAAAGGTAGTATATTTTAATGAATAAAATTAACTATTATTTAACACACTACTTATAACATGTATTCACTTTATAAAAAAATACAAATTTTATAGCATACTACCTTTTAGATATTAAAAATGATACTAATAAAGTAGCTTAATTATATCATAATTGTTAATTAGATTTAAACTACAATGATACATTTTTTTATTGCTTAACAAGTATAATTTTAAATAAATGCAGACGAAAGTAATATGTAGTAAAATATTTGCTGAATACACATTGATAATAAAGTATTTTGTTTTCACTACTATGAATGCCTATACTATACCACATATACTCTAATTTAATTCTAAAAGTACCTGAAAAATGAGATATCTTCTAAGGATCTAATACTCAATATCTATTAAATAATTGTTATGTGTAGTTGACGTTGATACTTATTTTCTAGCAACTACAAATTGTATTTATGTTTAATACCTTAAAATCTTCTCGTCTTCTGACATCTCGTTATATAATCTGTGTATTGTGATAATAGATAACGTATGGAACAGCTGTTTTCATTAAAACCGTGCATCAGCAAAACGTATTCAGACAACAACAAAATAAATAATATTTAAAATACTCATGTTTATGTTTGTTAAAATATCTTTAAAAAAAATGAATGATCTTAATTCTTATAAACTGAAGTAGTTTTTTCATTTCAAGTTCATAAAAATTAAATTCTGAAATATTGAATTTAATTAGATTTTGACCGTACTCGTTTAGTCGTTTGTCCAATTTTGAATAACCTGAAAATTATCAGTAGCCATCTTGAACAAAGCGTTTACACACAAACACAAACAGTGGTAGTGGTGAAATTTGTATGATAAAAATTGTAATTTTTTTTATTAATTTTTTAGTCCAAAATTGTGACAAATTTTTATATTCTATTTAGTTTAAATAATGTTATGTTGATATTCGTATTTGAAATGTTTTCTTAGTTATGGCTGCTTCTAGAAAACTTCAAGGTAAATATCATAAATGCACATTTTATTATTGTTCACTTATATACTCAAAAACTGTTGAAAAAAACATTATTAGGGGAATTACCTATGAAAAATAATTTAGTTAAGTTGTTCTTATTTGTGAAGAATTTATAAAATAACTGCATTCTCAATACAATTATTATAGTGTAAAATGTTAATTATCATTACTAAATACATGTACGTTAGTCAAATAATTTTACATATTTTAAATAGAAAATTAATTTATTTTGTATCAGCAACAAATATGAAACAGTCAATTATGACTTTGATTATCCATTTTATATTAATAAACTTATATTTTTTTCTACTTAAAGTGTAGTTACTCAAGAACAATAATCCAATAACTTGTATATAATTTTTAGGTGAAATTGATCGGTGCCTTAAGAAAGTTACCGAAGGTGTTGAAACATTTGAGGATATTTGGCAAAAAGTTCACAATGCTACAAATAGTAATCAAAAAGAAAAATATGAGGCTGACCTCAAAAAGGAAATCAAGAAATTGCAAAGGTTACGCGATCAAATCAAAAGCTGGATTGCGTCCGCAGAAATTAAGGATAAAAGTGCATTACTTGATTACCGCAAACTTATAGAAACTGTTAGTACATTTAAAAACATAGTTTAGTATTTAAATGTTAAACCATGTTCATTTTTATTTGTAGCAAATGGAAAGGTTTAAAGTAGTCGAACGAGAAACAAAGACTAAAGCTTATTCTAAAGAAGGGTTGGGTGCTGCCCAAAAACTAGATCCCGCTCAAAAAGAAAGAGAAGAAATAAGTGCATGGTTAACACAATCAATTGAGTCGCTCAATATTCAAGTAATTAATGATTTTGGTCTAATGAATTGAAAACTCAGGTTAGGTTTTTAGTTAGGTGCTTTTTTAAATCTCATTATTTTATAAAAGATATATTTACATTACATACCTAAGATTTTAATTACCTTTATTATTATTTCCCTCTTCTACTATAATGTTATGATAACAATTTTCTATTTAACTCAGAGGATGTCAACACTCATTTGTTTTCTCTCTGATCCACACACAACATAACAAGTTTATGTTAAGCAGAACCAATCCTGTGTTGTTACTTTTAATACTAGAAAGAATTCACCTATTACAAAACTTAAAACTAAGAACCTATGTCCCTATGTTGCCTGTTATACAATATTTTAATTCGTATATAATTTAAAAGCATTTTTAAATTGTAATAATATTTGCTCATATCTTACATAAAAATCAAATGATCATAAAATAGCCCAATATAGGGACCTAATATTAGGGAATGTTTATAACTCTAATGCTTATAACTGAGTTTTTTTAATAGATGAATTCACTCTACTATTAATTTTACAAACACAGGGTTAATTTTGCTAAATGTTTATTTGCTATGTAGCTTGTCAGTCAAAGAGAGAAAAACTAGTGTGCTGACAGCACCTTTATAGTTTTTAATTCATATATTTTTTTTGTGGATTGTATTTAATTATTAGTTTCAAAATGTTAAATTATAGATTGACCAATATGAGTGTGAAATGGAGTCATTACTTGTTGGGAAGAAAAAAAGGTTGGACAAAGATAAACAAGAAAAACTAGATGAACTAAAAGCAAGAGTAGTACGACATAGGTTCCATATACGAAAATTAGAGACTGTGCTAAGAATGTTAGATAATATGTCAGTGGAAGTCAAAAAGGTATCATAAAACTATTGATTATATAATTCTCTAAACAAATTATATAATGAGTTTATTTGTAGATTCGGTCGATAAAAGATGATGTAGAATATTATATTGAAGCATCACATGAAGAAGATTTTATGCATAGTGATGATTTGTATGATGAAATAATTGGGTTAGCTGAACTTGAATTAGGGGTTGCTGCAAATAATTCCGCAGAAGCCAATGGTAACAATTATAGTGATTGTCAAAATAATAATAATAAAATGTTTAAGTTTTTATGTAATAATAATTGTCAACTATATATATAAGATCAGATTTAAAAAGAAATTTTTCTCCTTGAACTTAATGTATGATCAATGATCATTTATACATTCATATATATATATTGTATTTTTATATATCATTGAACTTATACTTATAGGATCACCAACTAGCCAAACTGCAAGTCTTAGTGGTTCTTGTCCAGCATCTCCTGCTCCAATGTCACACAATCATTCCATTGAAGAGCCAGTTTCAGTGGCTGTAATAACAACTTCTACACCAGTATCAATAACAACTATCGCTACAATTAGTGAATCAATTCCAATGATCTCTACAGTATCTACGGTTGTAACTATTGCTACTCCAGCTTCTATTGTTGCAGCACCAGTTCGTAAGAAAAAAGAAGAAACCACTAAAGTTTGTACACACTATAATATTATTATTAGAAAACAATAATTTACTATCAGTCTAAAATTATGTTCAATTTAGAATGCAATTAAACCTACGCCTGTGAAAGCAAATCCTTCAAATAATACTAATTCTACGGTGAACAGTAAAGGCCCAACTATAGCTGCAGTTGTTAAATCATCTGTTAATAATCATACCACCACAACATCTAGTGTGTCTACTGTGTCTCAATCTATAACTACTCAAACAAGTACTACTACTGTTGGTAATTTTGCAACTGTAGCGGCTTCAAATATTCACAATAAGCATACACGTAAGTCTTAATTTAATATAAATATAAATAGCACAATTAATGAATTAATATATTATGAAAACTTATTTTCTTAACACGTTGACTGCGTACTGACGCCAAATGGCGTAATGAGTATCAATCAGCAATGTGTTTGACGCTAAATGGCGTCCACAATATATTAAAAGTAAATGGTTTATTACTCGTTAAGCATGGCTGAATGTGGTTTTGTATTATTTAGCGTGATTAAACGCACGTTTTAAAATATGTATTCGTACACCGTTTGGATGTATGACCATATAGGAGCAGTTCCTTTGGTACGTAAAAATATGTACCTTAACGCACTGGGCGAGAAATGCAAAAATACATACGCAGTCAACGTGTTAAATATCATGTTTTCGATTTATTTTTATAATCCGACTGAATTACAGTATTTTATCAAGTTAGATTTTATCGCAATAATGTACTATATAATGATATTTAAATTCTAAGTTAATTTTCCTTAACCAATTAAATAATGATTTTCTTCGTTAAACACTTATAATATATTTAAATATTTAAATTTATTAATTATAATTATAAGTTATTAGAATGCTTATTTCGGGCAACAATTAAAATATCTGTTCAATTCTAGGTATTTAATTTAATTTTTCCTCTCAATTATTTGTATTTGCTATAACAGTATTTTTGAATGATTGCTTAGAGTATTGTTTGATTTTTGAACTGTTATTTACATAGAAGCACAATCTGTTGAAAATACATCTGTTACATCAATACCTACTTCTCCATCATCTTACCATACTAATGTGCCAACTGCACAAGGAAATGTGAATAATTCTGATAGTGTGGTTAATTGTGTGTCTACTACACCTTCGTCATTAAGTTCTACAACATCACCAGTACAAGTGGATTCTAACACAGCCCTGTCATCATTAAAGACTATAGCCCAAAAAGCTATTGATCAAGCTGGGATTGATATATCACAACAGTCTACTGATACTAGAAG